TTTGTTCTTAACTTTTATAAATTTTATTAAATTATAGTTAAGTAAATATACAAAATAATTGAATTTACTAAATAAATTTCTCACTTTTAATAAATAATTTTGCACAATTATTTGTTTGTATTATATTTTATTTTTATGAACATTAAATGTAACAAAATATAGCTATTAATCTTATGTAATAATTGTAAGAATTATAATTTTATTGATAATGTATTCTATTTTACTCATAATTACATTAAATATTATTTACAAATGACACCAAAATAATATATTTATTTTATCATCAGTTATCTACTGTATAATAATAATTGTCTATTGATTAACAAGACATTGCCTTTCATAATGAATTCCTTTAATGTTTTCCTCTACAGTATTAATTCAAAAGAATTTCAGTAAATTATTGTTTTAAATTAATTTGATTTACAATTTTGTCTATAAAATTAAGAATTTCAAGTTCTCTTATAGAATTTGAATTGAAGATTACATAAGTATAAGGATTTTGTTTGAAAAATAATAGTTTTACGTATATTACTATTTAATAGTAAAATACAGTATCATTTTTAATTTATATTTTAAAAAGATATCAAATTTTTAAATTCATATTTCTTATGTATCTGAGTTGACTCAATATAAATTCAGCCATAATCCAACAAATCAACAGAATTTTGTTAAATATAATTGAATCTAAAATATCGATATTTAAGTATCAATTTTTAGTGTTACTATAGTCGAGTAACATTATTCCTGTCTATATTACAATACAGTTGACATAACAGGTGTATTCACAGCACTATTATTAATAGTGATCTTTAATTCATACATTCATGCATTTGAGTGTATATTAAATAAAAAAAATTTCTAATTATTATTTCAATGAATGCCAATTCATTGAAATTCTCGCGTAAATTGTTGAATAAAAAAGTTTTCAAAAGTCAAGTGTTGTGTTCATACCATAGATGTCTCGATAGAGTACAAGTGTCGGGCATTTGATTGACGAGTGTTTATGATATGAAAAGTTAGCGTTTGTTTGGTATTGAAGTTCAATAACTTATTTGACTATTGGTTTGAATTGCTCTCAAATAATGTATTAATTGTTTTGATAATTAACTTTCATATCAAATCTATTTAGAGTCCAAAAGTCATATATCTGTCTATATTTGCATCACTTTTTCCACTCAATACTATTCACTCGTTTAGCCAAATATTAGCCCAAAAATCGTATTCAATTGAAACAAATTGTTATTGAATTTGTATTTTGTTATCAATTTTCCCCACTTTTTGCTAATAACTGTAATTATAGTCATTATATAAAGTCATTAATTGTAAGACATTTTGAATTGAATTGAAAATAATGTCTAAACTATTAATACGACAAACACTGAGATTGCCTCAGATTTTAGCCACAAATCTGACAAAAAGTGGTCAATTCAGTGGACATATCACTGGACATCAACTGCTGATCAGAGGTTTCAGTCAGACATCACCCATGAATCGCATCGAGAATGTGCTGATCATTGGATCGGGTCTTATGGGCTCAGGTATGTCACCGATCACTGACCACTGCTTGCGACACGTGTTTATTAATCCACTGATTTGATTGGTATGTGCTTTGATGGCAATGTATGTCAGGTATCGCCCAGTCGTGTGCCACCACTAATCGCTTCAAATCAATCACATTACAAGACATATCTGAGGATCAGTTGTCTAAAGCCAAGACTCGTATCACTCAAAGTCTCACTAATATTAAAGAGAAGAAGAAAGGTTTGACATCTCTTTCGCTACCATAGAGTATATCACATGATTTGGTCATCATTTAAGACAATCTCTGTCTTATAAACTACTCATTGAATTAGTTTTACAATTAAATCATATATTCATATCCAGTGTATGTATGGCATGGATGGGAAGGGATGTGGTATATGGATAGTGATGACCCGGTTATGAGTTAATGAATTATATAGTGATTACCGGTATTTATAAACAATTCATTTATAATTGAATCCACATTTGGATAAAAGTAGGATTCAGTGAGAAATGTTTGAATTGTTTTGAACTCCGATTAACCCAAACCTGAATGCCATTCAAGTACTCTATGGTTTAGTTAGTGATAAGATTACAATCATTTCGTGTCCATTCAATTATATAATTATTTATTTATAATTAAATACAGTTTTTCGTGTTTTATAATCGATTAGATAGTGACCTCAAATATATATAAA